GCTACACATAGTTAGGTAAAAATGATTTTGTAAATGAAACTAATACTAAAAAATAATAAAAGTAATTGATTCACAAACTTCAAACACAAATTGAGACCTAAGATTATTTATCCCCCTTGCATCTTATAACACCAAAATTACTTCTTCTCATAAATGTTTTTAATGAAAATAAGTGCTAACCTAGGGTTCTAAAAATACTTGGACAAGCTCTCTCAAGTCATGAACAAGTGTTTAGTTAAATTAATTGCCCAATCTCTTGTTACAATTAATAAAAATCAATTTTGAATACCAACCCTAATGTGGCTATGCAAGGCTAGTAAGTATATCTTTATCTTACCAGCAAAACCATCCATTCAACATACAAATATCAAATTCTTACACAATTTTACTCAAATTCTACACTCAACCTAGCCCTCTCAAGCATCAATTAAGTGAACCCAACATCTAAATGGTGGCCAATCAAGTAGAAGCATTAAGGAAAGAGTAAAATAGACACATATATATCATTAATCATAAAAAAAAGAGGAGAAATATAGTGTTAATCCATACAAGGGTTCTAAATAATCCTAGAACAAAGAGTTTAGCCACTCATAATCATCCACAAGCTATAAATATACAAAGTAAGTAGACCCATTTCAGATTATAAGACAGGAAAGGGAAGAAGAATAGTAAAACCAAAGAAGAAGAACTCCAAATGTCTTTAAAGCTTTAATCTCTTGATCCCAACTCTTCCAATGCCCAAACTCTAGCACAACCAAGCTCCAAGTGTGTCTAAAAGTTTGAAGAATGTGTTCTGGGTCAAGCTCTTAGCTTATATGTATCCTAGCCAACTAATTTCTCATAAATGAAATGCAGCATTTTTCTGACAGCGGTGAAAGTCGCGAACAAAAATCACGACTTTGGGACGACTTTGATAGTTTTGCACTGTTTTTATAGCTAACGAAGATTATTCATTTTGTTCTTAATTTCTTCATCCAAAGCCTTCCAAGAACATCCACAAAGCTCCAGAAATGCTTTTAATAAAAAATTCAATCAAAATAACATGAAATTAGGCTAAAAATATCAAATTAAAGCCAAGAACACAAGCCTAAAACAAAATGCACATTTTCCTAAATTGGGCAATAAAAACATATACAATTAAACCAAAATGGATTAGAATCTAAAGAAAATGTGATAAAATAATATGAACTTCTAAAGGTTAACAACAATATATCATAATTCATGGTACCTCTTAAATATCTCAAGACTCTCACCAAAGCCTCCCAGTGTTTACTGCCTGAACAGTGGGTATATCTGCTCAATCTGCCTACAGCATAAGCTATATCAGGCCTAGTAAAATTTATCAAATGCAACAGACTCCTAATAATCTATGCATACTCAGATTGAGTAACTAGGTTACCCTTGTGCTTTTTTAATTGCACACTCGAACTAAAAGGAGTACTCAAAGGAGCATCTTTAAGATGTTCAAATTTTCTGAGAATTTTTTCAACATAATGTTCTTGGAAAAGCAAAATTCCATTTTCATTCCTTATGATTTTTACATCCAAGATTACCTTGGCTTCACCCATATCTTTTATATCAAAATTTGAAGAAAGAAAATCTTTTGTTTCATTAACAACACACATACTAGAGCCAAAAATTAGCATATCATCCACATACAAGCATATAATCACGCAATCATTATTCACTAGTTTTGTATAACACATCTTTCTACTTCAACAGTAAAAAATTCATCAGTTGTCAAAACTTGATCAAGTTTCTCATGCCATTGCTTAGGTGCTTGTTTTAAGCCATACAAAGACTTGACAAGTTTACAAACTTTATTTTCTTGCCCAGGAATCACACATCCCTCAGGCTATACCATGTAAATTTCTTCTCCCAAATCACCATTTAAAAGAGTGGTTTTAACATCCATTTGGTGAACAAAAAGTTTGTAAATTGAAGCCAAAGCAATAAGAATTCTTATAGAAGAGATTCTAGTCACAGGAGAAAATGTGTCAAAATAATCTATATTTTCTTTTTGAGTAAAACCCTTGGCCACAAGCCTTGCTTTATATTTATTAATTGAACCGTCTGAAAAATATTTTTTTAAAAAAATCCATTTACACCCAATAGCCTTAGCTCCTTAGGGCAAATCTGGTAAAAGCCAAGTTTTATTTTTTCTTAAATAATCAATTTCAATTTCAAATGCTTCTTTTCAAAAATTGGCATCAGGAGAAGAAATAGTTTCATAAAAATTTAACGGTTCATTTTGTCTAAATAAGTGTAAAAATCATCTCCAAAACTTGTTTCTTTCCTTTGCCTTTTACTTCTCCTTAAAACCAAATCTTCATTTAAATTTTGTTCAAACTCTAAATTTTCAATAGGTTTAGAAACATTCTTAATTTTTAACGGAAAAATATGTTCAAAAAATTCAGCATTCTTAGTCTCTACAATTGTGTTTTGGTCTAAAATATCACTTTTTAAAACTAAAAACCGATATGTTGCACTTTGTTCAGTATACCCAATAAACATACAATCAGAAGTTTTAGAACCAATATTTCTCTTTTTAGGATCAGGTAATAAAACTTTTACAAGACACCCCCACACTTTTAAATATTTTAAATTTGAGGTAAACACTTTCCATAAATCATAAGGTATTTTCTTTATTTTCTTATGAGGTATCCTATTTTGTAAAAAAAATGCAGACAAAATAGCTTCACCCTACAAGTTATCAGGTGCAAAAGAACTCACAAGCAAAGCATTCATCGTTTCTTTTAATGTTTTGTTTTTCCTTTCTGCAACACTATTAGACTTGGGAGAATAAGGAGGTGCTATCTCATGTATAATTCCTTCTTTTTCACAAAAATCATTTAACAAAATATATTCTCCACCTCTATCAAATCTAACCTTTTTAATCCTTTTGTTTAACTGATTCTCAACTTCTACTTTATATAAAAGAAATTTTTCAAAAGCCTCATCTTTGTTTCTTAACAAGTATACCTTAGTATATCTTGAAAAATCATCAATAAAAGTGATATAATATTTTTTTTATCATCTCTAGTCATGGTTTGTTTTAAGTAACCTAAATCTATGTGAATTAAAGATAGAAATTCAGATTCTCTTTGACTACAAAAATGAGATTTTTTATTTTGCTTAGTTTCTGCACATACTTCACATTTTTCAAAATCATTGTTTTTAATTTCAGAAAGTAGTCCAAGTTATTGCATCCTATTTATATAACCTTTACTAGCGTGACCTAGTCTAGCATGCCATAGATCAAAGGAATCAACCATAGACATATACTCAGAAGATTCAGTCTTATTCATTTCATCAACATTCAAAACAAATAGTCCCTGATTACAATACCCTTTACTTACAAATACATTATTTTTTGTCATTACAATCTTGTCAGATTCAAATGACACTTTAACCTCAACTTTTCCTAAAAGAGAAACTAACACTAAGTTTGCTCTAACTTCAAGCACATGCAAAACATTGTTCAGAGCCAAAGTCTTTCCTAATGTGAGCTTTAAGACCACTTTCCCTTTTCCTTGAACTTTGGCAGTTTGGGAATCAACAAGGTAAATATGGTCTTCCCCTTCCTTTACAGGATTATAGGAGGTAAACATCTCTTGGCTAGCACATATGTGTCTAGTAGCCTTGAAGTCTACCACCCATTTCTTCACATTAGAAATCAAGAGAGCTTGTGATACCACTGCAGTAATGATGTCATCATCACTATCACCATCTCGTTGTACATTTAGCTTCCGAGGCTTATCATGGTTTGCTCTCTTCTTATATTATGCTGCATAGTGTCCTGATTTACTATAGACAAAACAGTCTCCTTTCTTCTTGAAAGAAGGGTTAGAAGCATTGGGTTTGTAATCATATTTTCAATTCTTCTTGTCTTTATTTTTAAGATCATACCTCTTATTGTGAGGCTTTGTCTCCACAAAGTTGGCTTTGAATGTCATTTCTCTAGTTCGAGCTACACGTATTGCCTTGCGGTTGATGTCTTTGATGATGATGTGAGTGATCAAGTTAGTCAAGGACAGCTGCTTCTATTTGTGTTTCAGATATTGTTTGTAATCAGACCATGATTCTAAAAGCTTCTCAATCAGGATCCTAGCAACGAACTCATCTGGAAGGTTTATATTTTCAACACGAAGCTCCTCTAGCAGCTTATGATATTCGTTGATTTGCTCCTTCACATCCTTATTCTCGATCATCTCCCATTTGTAGTAGTTTCCCATAACGAACTTTTGTTTGCCGGCATCCTCAGCAATGTACTTTGTCACCAAGTACACCCATATCTTACAAGCTTCCTTGTAGACACAGTAGACATCGAACAAATCATTAGATAAAGTGCTAATGATAGTATGTTGGCATACCTTGTTTGCATGAGTCCATGCAACTCTCTGGGCTTGATCAGTATCAGCAGGAGGCTCAGATTAAGTAAGAGCAGTGGCTACACCATGCATGTCAAGAAGGTGAAGACTCGTTCCTGCCAGCGTCTGAAGTTCCTGCCGTCAAAGACTTCCATCTTTGATATGTCTGGGAACGGCCTCGATAGGGGGACGGCAATAGTAGCAAGGATATATTGACCTCCAACCGAATCATTGGGCACACCTTCAGGAGTGACATTCTCAACACTATTGCAGCACTGTTGGGAGGAGCAAGGGAATAGAACAACAAAGACTAAAAAAATGAACACAGGCAGATGGCAGAGGGAAGGTAAGCTAAAAATAATTATTTATTTTTGTAAAAAAAATCTGGTAAAAAAAAACCCATTGCCTCTTGAACTTGCTCAAGAGGGGGAATCAATTGATTTCAACTACAATTGCCCTATGTCAGCCTATCTTATGTACACAAGGCTACTTCTTCTCTAAGCCCATTTTGTAAGCTCACTTCATTCCTTAGTATATTATACTAGGAGAGTCCTTCTTATAATCAATGTAGGACTTTAACACACACACTTTTGACACACATACAACAAAATCACCATTGAATATGTCGTTTCTGAATGCCACCATTTTCTTGTATCTCCTGGGCTTGGTCACCTTCTTGTTTCTGTTCAAACTTTCAAGACCAAGAAAAAACCAACCATATAACCTGCCTCCATCTCCACCAAAGTTGCCGATTATTGGCAATATTCACCAGTTAGGAACTCTCCCTCATCATTCTTTGAGAGACCTATCTCTGAAATACGGTCCTCTCTTGTGGCTACAGCTCGGTCGAATCCCAGCTTTCCTAGTCTCTTCTGCAGATTTGGCCAGAGAAGTGCTAAAGAATCAAGACGCAGTTTTTGCCGGCAAGTTCCAAAGCATATCAGCGAGAACCTTACTATATGGATGCAAGGATATTTCCTATGCAACCTACGGTGAAAGCTGGCGACAGAAAAGGAAAATATGTGTGCTTGAACTTCTCAGCCTCAAAAGGGTTCGATCCTTTCAGGTTATAAGAGATGAAGAAGTTGCAGAAATGATTAACGAGATACGAAGAGCCTGTGTGAGTGATACAAATTGCTCTGTGAACATAAGTGACCTCATAACTGCGACCACCACCAACATAATATTCAGATGTATAATTGAACAGAAATATGATCCAGAAGAGAGCAGTGGAAGATTGGGGACGCTTGCGAGGAAGGAGATGATCCATCTGGGGGAATTAATAGTGGGAGATTTCTTTCCTTCCTTGGGTTGGATCGATGTTCTGAATGGGAAAATCCAAGAACTGAGAGACACTTTTAAAGCAATAGATGGGTTCTTTGATCAGGTAACAGAAGATCATAAGCTGGTGATGAAGAATGACGATGAGAAGAAAGACTTTGTGGATATTCTTCTTCAACTTAAAGACAGTGATTTGCTTGAATTCGAACCCACCAAAGATGACCTTAAAGCAATCATAACGGTCTCTTCTGAATCCCTTTCATTTCGCTTAGCGTTGCTGTTTGTTGTTAATGAGCTTTCGTTTAAAGTACTGCTTTTAGCTATTTTCTACCATGTTTTAACGTAATGAAAATAATAAATAACTGATGAAAGCTTAAGCTCTGTCTCTTATTATACCTTTTGATCTATATCTTATCATTATATATGATGCATATGTTAGATTTATATTTTCATATTAGATCTGAACTCCGAAGTTGGCTTTAAAAAAAAAAAAGGGCATGAACTGAAGTTATTGAGAAAATGCATGTTTCTAGTTCGGTGCTACTTTTTCTTTTTCATTATATTGTAGATATCAAACTTGAGTCTTAATAAAAACAAAATTTTGTTCCCCTCAATAGGATGATCAGCTGATTCTATTCCAATGAATTAACCTGAACCAAATAGAGCCAGCTGATCTGGGAGATAATTGTGAGATTTGATAAAAGGGAAAAATAAAAGGCAGAAGTTGATTCTTGTTGCATTTCAATGAGTTCAGGACATGTTTTTAGCAGGGAATGACTACTTCAACGACATTAGAGTGGATTTTAACGGAGCTTCGGAGACATCCCAGAATCATGAGGAAAGCCCAACAAGAGGTCAGGAAAGTGGTGGGGTCCAAATCAAAAGTGGACGAAGCTGACATAAACGGCATGAAATACTTGAAACATGTCATCAAAGAAACTCTTAGATTACACCCACCAGCTCCTTTCATGGTCCCTCGAGAAACAATCGGCGATGCAAAATTAGGAGGATACGACATTCCTTCCAAAACATTGATATTTGTTAACACATGGGCAATCCAAAGGGACCCTGAAATATGGGACAAGCCTGAAGAGTTTATTCCGGAGAGATTTGAGAACAGTCAGATAGATTTCAAAGGGAAAGACTTTGAGTTCATCCCATTTGGATCTGGAAAAAGGATATGTCCTGGCATGGCCTTTGGACTTGCTTCAGTTGAGTATGAACTGGCTAATCTTCACTGGTTTGACTGGAATCTGTCTCAGGATGGTGAGATTGATATGACCAAGACGTATGGGCTCACAGTGAAGAAGAAGGTCCCTCTTTTTCTTGAACTTATACCATACTCTGTCCACTCACAATCTGGTTAATCCGTCTTCATGATTTCGCTTCATGTTTATGGTTTCTGTTTGGTCTGTGATGGTACTTGCTGTTAAAATGTGAAGCTGCTTATGAAGTTGCGTGTATGGGAAGAATAATGGGTATGAATTAGTGGATGTAATGTGAAATTCTATCTTAGTTACCTAGGAAAATACTACTATAGTGTGTGTTACTGATGCCTTTGTTATTGCTTTGAATTTGTGAGGTGAGACATATATGGGAATATTATCAAATAAGAGCGAGTATCATTCAGAACTCTGAAATCAAATGTGATGGTTATCTTGAAAAAGCTTAAGCCAAATAACAGTTCAAGAAATGTCTCTGAATATTTTGCCATCAAATAACTCAAATTCCAAATACATTAATTAGGAAAATTAGGTAAATACATGCACAGTAACAACACTCAAGAACAGTGTCACTGAAAAATAAGAGGCGCAGAAAAGGATGGAGAAGTAGCAGCTACACAGAGAAGAAAATATCTGAGAGAGGAAGAGAAAGAACTACAAGAAAAAGGAGGAGGCCAAAGCATGAATATCAAAGGAAAAGAGGTCACGGTTTTCTCCGCACGGCCGCACCAACACTTTGTGCCCAACTACATCCCCTTACCCAATTTTCTGTAATGAGCATTCTGTAATATTCTGTAATAATATTCTGTAATATTATTAAAAAAAATCCGTAATGAGCATCCAGCCTATTAACATGACTTTCCTTACTCGTCCAAGCCCACATTAAGATTAGGCTCATTAATATATAATGAACTCATTAACAAATAGGTGACGACCTTTTGGAGTCATCATTGTCTCGCTAATTTTGGATAAATCTTCTAGCTCTTCCGTCTCATCCGATGAGAGGGGGAGGGAAGTATGAAATTAATTGGAGGCCCAATGGATGTTGGATTTTTGTTATTCAACCCAGAACTGTTTGAGCAATAATTTAGCGTCAAGCTTTTAATCTCTTGCATTGACATTATTAAAGCCAATTAGTTGGCTAAAGTCTTGGCTAATGATCAGTCACACCCGAAATATAAGAGTGACCAATACGTAATATATGCCTAAACACATATTCCTTAAGCCTAATTCAAGAAATGTTTTATTTTAAAAATACTTTTCATTTAAGTCAAGCTTTATTATTTTTGTAAAAATTCCAACAGAATCTTCGTTGAGAATTAAATCTCACAAAATTTTATAATACAAATTTTCAAATGAATATTATAACAACTAGAACCTCATCTCCCTTTAGCCAGCAAACCAAAATATTTAATAAAATAAGGATTCTAACCATAACCTATGTGAAGCACTTATAACATTATTTATAAGAGTACAATATATAGGTTTAAAAATTTTTATATCAAAAATATAAATTAAATAAAATGGCACCTCAACTTTAATTTAGTAATGAAATCTCTTGAATGATCTAACAAAGATATAGGTTATCTGACACCAAAAATATTTTTCAGTGAATAATATTCCAACCATAACATTTTTCAACATTAAAGTGAATAAAATATAATAGTTACATGAACTAAAGAGAAAGTAATTCAATGGAAATAAATTTGTAAGCTCAGAATAAAATTTTTATATAACTTCAATATCAAGAAACTTTAAATTTATAACAACCAAACAGCTTTAACATTTGATCTTGACATGTCAAAATAATTAAATAAGTACATAAATGAAAATAATAACATTTGTTAGTTAAAAATCATTAGTGTGTGAAATCATCAATTAATTAAAAATTTATATTTCTAGAGATTTATTAGGACAATTCACAAATATGGACACAGAGTCCATGAAGGTAAATAACTAAACGCGGCTTATGCCACGAAGACAAATGTGGACACAAAATTTATGAGGATAAGTAACCAAACACAACTTAAGCTATGAAACAGATGTTGACACATAGTCCATGAGGGTAATGCTAATTAAATGCAATTTGAAGCCACAAAAACAAACGTGAGAATAGAGCTCACAAAAATCAAACTAGTTAGTTATTGACCGTGGCACACCAAAAGCTAATAGAACTACCGTTAGTAACTAGTGTTCTGTATAACATCCCCTCCAAAATCATTTTCAAACATACGAAAAAATCACTATTGTGAAAACATAAATTTATATTCTCGAAATCAAACTCGAATGAATAATTTTAAGTTTTAAAACTTGTCAAAATAAAATTTGATAGCTAATATTCATGCTGTATTTATTGAGTAATCAAACATTGCCAAAGATAGTAAAAAAAATAATATTTTTTTCATCAATCTTGAAAGCATATATCATAACAAGTAAAACATTCATATATCACGATGTAAATGCTCTTCACCACCATCTTATAACTTAAAAATGAAGTAACTTAATTAACCAAGTATCCATTAATTAACATAATTATTATTAAAATGATCCATACAAAAATATAAAATTTCAAAAAAAATTTATTGATAGATCAATTGAGATATTATCCACTTACCTGAAGTATTTCCAAAATTCAAAAATCACCTCTTGCCACCTCAAGCAAATTTCTCCTCTTTGAAATATCCTATAAATATAATAATATCTTTATGAACTTTATTTTTGAATCAACAAGAACCCTTTCCAAGAAAATGCACTCAGCCAAAATTAATAATAATAACGTTGAAGTCTTATGAGCACAATTCACACATAAAGATTTCTAGCCATAGTTAGCTAGTCAGTTAAAATATACTCTCTCCTTAGACTTTTTATTAAACACCTATTATACAACATTTCAAATCATAAAAAAAATATTATACCCTTTAATTCTCTTACCCTAACAAATTTCAAGTATCCAAATATAATTTCTAAATTCATAATATATTTTATGACTTATAAGCCATATAACTCCCCACAATTCAGAACTCAAACAATATCTTATTAACTCCTAAGATGGATTCCTTCATAAAACTCAATTTAGAGTAACCAATTAACATTGCTCAAGCCCAAGCATGCTTCTTATGAAATTAACAAAATTACACATATATATAAAAAAAATCAATCAAAACTCTTTTAATAAGCATTTTATTAAACACCAATCCAATTGTAGTACCAAGCTTCACTCTCTTCAATTTTCTTTTTAAAAAAATTTTCATTATCAATTTTTCAAACTTCAATTTCCAAGCTACCTAATCTTATTATTCCTTCAACGGAAACCAATTGACCTCAAAGAACAATTAAATCAATTCATCCTCTGCAGCAGCAACATAAAAGTGAAATTATCTAATGAAAATCATGCTCTTAAACTCAAATTTCATCTCAAATCAAGCTTCCCTTTCATATACGCATACATACAGTCACGGATAGCAGCAGCAGCAGCGCAAGAAGGAAAAATCACAATCTCCATTATAAAAAAAACACACACGAATCAGACAAGGAAGAGGAAAAATTCAGAATTCCTTATAGCAAATCAGCCACAATAAAGCACATGAAGAAGAACCTGGTGATGCTGAAAATGGAGGGAGAGGGAAAGAAGGACCTGATGCTCTAAGTCACAGCAGCTCAAACAGAGGGAGCAGATGAAGAGAAGTTCACGGTGAAGAACAGGGGAGGGAGAAACCCGATGCGCGCATGCCACAGCACCTTCGAAGGAGGAGGATTTCGGCGTTTTCCTCCAGTTACCAACGATGGACAGAGAGAGACGAAGGTGAAGGGAGAGGAAAGTTTGAATTCTTGCAAGATCATATGGACAGAGGAAGGGGGAAAATCTCGGCAGTTTCAAGCAGAAAGGAAAGAAGAAATTGTAAGTCTGGTGGGACAGGAATGGCACAGCTCCACTTCGATGATGATGGCAAGCACGAACAGCGAGGAGATCAGAAGCTGGAGCACGGTAATGTGTACCACCAAAACATCAGTTTACTTAAGCAAATTAACCCCTAATTATATAAAAGTATAATTAACATACCTTAACATAAATTTTAAATTATCATTATTTCTTGGGTTATTACATCCATTTTTTCTTGAGGATTCAAATCCAACTCCAGAGATATAGACACCGAAAGAATTTCTACTAAGCTACCACATTTTTCTTGTTATATTTGTTCAAAATTAATAAAAATATATTTAAAAATATCTTATCATAAATTTTAAATCTAAACTTAAAGCTTTGGATCATTACATGATCAGTTTCTAAATAAAGCTAAGTTAAGTAATTAGAAAGCTAATCAATGTAGTTACTAGGCTGTTATCTTTTCATGTTCCTGTTTTCAAGGATGTGTTGATCTTTGATTAATGAAGTATACAGTTTTTTTATAATAAAAAAATAGAATAGATAGATCTTGTGCTGAAGTCTGATGCCTAAGCTTAGTTTTAGGTTCAAATTTATCTTCAGCCTCCAATATTATCTACACCAAGCTCTAATTAAGTTAAATTGAATCACCAGTAACCAATAAATATCTACATGCACGTTACAGAATTTCATGAAATGTAGCATCAGTTTAATTTGTGGGAGTGACCTTTCAGTCAAAGCAAAAATTAATTGGAAAGGTAATGATTATAAGCAAACAACTTGACGCATAAAATGTAAGCAATCAGATATACAATTTTAAAACTTCGGCTGATAACTTATAAATAAATAAAGAATTAGTCTTACTTGTATTTTGGCCTTTGGACTTGATTATTTTTGTTCCTTAAGAGTAGTCTTCAAAATTAAGATTCTCGTTTTAAAATTAAATGAATTTCTGGGTTCTCTCGTTTGTCATTTACTCATTTTCCTTAAAGTAAAATTACAGAAGTCAAACTCTATTTCGATGGGTTGAAATAATTGATCTAGGCGTGGTATCTTGTCAAAAAGAATATCAAATAACAAGCGTACAAATTATAATATTAATTTCTTTCTTATTTTTAAGATTGGCATATAATTATTTGATATATATAGTAGTATTATATTATAGTCCATATGATTCTATTGTAAGCTGCAGCTAATCACCTCATTAAAAATAGAGAGGTGATTAAATTATTAATTTTAATTATGTTAAAATAAACAAATATAATTTTACTCGTATTAAAATGAAAATTTTTTAAATTCACATTACATTCCCTCATAATTAATTTTTTAAAATAAAAATAATATTAAAAAAATTAATTGATGCAGCATCAACTCATCAAGTGGTTTAGAGTAAAATACATCGATATCTTCTCTTTTTATACAATTATCCATTCGTTTTAACTTGATTACATATACATCTTTTTATTTTTAAAACTAACACGAAACTCGTCACTAAAAATTAATTAATAGTTATAAATCACACGCCTCCCTTATACCCATGTCGCATCCCCTGTAAATGCTTCGACCGTTCTATACTTCCTCGAAAACCAAAGGTTGCGAGCAGAGAAACCACAATGGCTCTACTCTCACCTGTCAACCCCTACTTTCCCTTGGACCAAAACGGCCTGCTCTTGTCTCTTTCGTGCTTCATCATTACTGCCCTGTTTTTGGTCAATCTCAGAACTAGAACAGCAAGCAAATCCAAGTCGAATGTGAATCAGCTTCCATCCCCGCCAAAACTACCCTTCCGCACTACTCTTTTCGAGCACTCTTCAATAAATACGGACCTATAATGCCTTTACAGTTGGGTCAGACTCCAACTGTGGTGGTTTCTTCTGCAAAATTGGCCCGCGAAATTATGAAAACCCATGACCTTACCTTCGCAGATGTCTCAAGGTAATTGTCCTAAGATCTTGCTCTATGGATGTACTGACGTTGGCTTTGGGAACTACGGTGAAATTTGGAGATAGAAGAAGAAAATATGTGTCAACGAAGTTCTTTGCCTGAGAAGCGTTCAATCGTTCAAGAACGTCAAAGAAGAAGAATCTTGGCACTTAGTGAATAAGATAAGTGATATGTGCTCGAGTGGTGGAGATTCTGTGAAACTGCTGAGCGAGTTGCTCATTGCTACATCCAACGACATCGTGTGCAAGTGTGTTCTTGGGGACAAGTTTAACACGGCGGCGAATACAAGAATTGGAGAGCTAGCGAGGAAGGTGATGATTAACCTTGCGGCCTTCAGCGCGGGAGATTATTTCCCTTCCTTTTGGTTGGCTTGACTTTTTCACTAGTCTCATTCCGAGGTTAAAGGCCATTTTCAAAGGGTTAGATGATTTCTTTGAAGGTGTCATTGAAGAACACAGGACCATGATGAAGAACAGAAGCGGTGTCCAATACAAGAAAAGGAAAATCTTGCTCGATATTCTCCTTCAACTCCATGACGATGGCAAGCTTGACAATAGTTTCTCCCAAAACGAGCTCACATCAATCCTCATGGTCTCTCTCTCTCTCATTTATACTAATACTCGATTCCTGGGTTTGTATTAACGGAAGAAATGATTCATTGTGATAGATTAAAAATTCTTCATCTGGTGTAGGATATGTTTGTGGGAGGAACCGATCGACGCAAATTCAGCAACAATGGAGTGGGCCATGGTGGAGCAATGCAGAAAGCAAAGGAAGAGGTAAGACGCATGGTGGGGAACAACTCAAAGGTAGAAGAGCAAGACATAAGCCAAATGAATTACTTGAAATGGGTGGTCAAAAGAAATTCTGAGATTGCATCTACCTAGTCCTCTGCTGGGCTCCTCGAGTAGCTAGATCAGATGTGAATTGTACATTAATTCATACAAATCCTGAGTTCTGGGAAAGACCTGAAGAGTTCATTCCTGAAAGATTTGAGATGGACGATGTTGAATTCAGAGGGCAAGACTTCCATTACATACCATTTGGTTCAGGAAGAAGAGGGTGTCCTGGGATGATATTTTGTGTTGCTGCTGTGGAATCCATGCTCGCTAATCTCTTGTTTTTGTTTGATTGGAAGCTTCCCGAAAATGGAGGAACTGTTCCACACATTGATATGAACGAGAGATTCGGCCTAACTGTTAGGAAAAAACTGCCATTCTATCTTCGACGGACACCCTTCTCTCTTTTAAGTTTTAATCCAAAACCGTATATCGTAGTTAAAGTGTGATTCTCTTTTCTGAGTGAGCTTTTACGTTATGTGAGCTTTTCTGAGAGTACTGTATGTGTATGCCTGTATGTAGGTATTGAGGTTGAAGTTTGCGTACGGGAGACAATGATTTATTGATATCGACTCGTACTGATTGTTGAATAAAAAGTTGGATGTTGGTTAGTGGTCGAGATCAGTGGTTGAATTAGTGAACAAATAATGAATCATTCTCAGGTTGAATATATTTGATACATTATTGTCATCTACAATATTTTTCAAATATATTTTATCATTTTGTGTATATATAAAAGTCATTATCAGGAAATATTATTATATAATTATTTGTCATTATTGTGTTATCTTATTCTTGATGTATATAATGTACCTTTCACATTATTAGTTATATACATGACATTTTTCAATCTTTCTCTAGTTTACTTCTCTCATGTTTAATAGCTTTCATGATATTAGAGTCATAGAATGTTATTTTTTTCAAGGGTAAGTTAATTTTCAAAGAATGTTAGCTTTCCTTTGCATCAATATTGCCATCCTTCGTTATGTGTTCAAATCCACCTCAAATCTATTTTCTCATATCCACAAGGTAATTTCAATAAATCAATGTTTGTGAATTCATTAATTGTTAGATCATGCTAAAATTTGGTCAATAGGTATGAAACATACAGTACCTATTTTTCAACGGTTAGACTGTTGATTAGTTTCTTATTGTGAAAGTTATTCCATTCGCACTTCAATCTCTAGTTTGGTTGTTTTTATCTTTCATTCTCTTTTGTAAGCTTTTTACTCAATATATCCCAGTTACTTTGAATGGTTACAATTACCTTTTATAGTTGGAAACATGTGATCTTTCTCAACATACTTTGGGATCCTCTTTGATTGAACTTGAAACTTTGTTGAACACACTCATCTTCAATCCCTCTAGTCCATTTATTGCCTTTTCTACTTTCACTAGTAAATCCACTTAGTATTTTGACTCTACTTGTTGCAATCATATGATAAGTCAAGCAAATTTCTTCTCCTTTATGAAACCTAATTATACTACCTATCATATACACATTATTAATAATTCTCAAATGTTTGTTAGTCATATTTGTATTGTATCCTTGCTTTCCCCATCCATTCATAATACATATTTTGTTCTTGCCATTAGTTTCAACTTTTTTTTTTTGGTTGGCCAACTTGTTATTTAATAAATGTGGTTATGTTGTAATAGATTCTCAAATAGGACAAGTTTTTGGGAACGAGCACAAAGTTGGTCATATGTTCAAGATCACCTCGATGCACCTACCTATAAGATCATTGCTCCCACATTGTTTGCTGCCTCTACATCCTCTTCCCTTGATTTTTGTCTCAATTTATGGCATTATCATCTTGTTCACCCTTTTTTAAGTAAATTATGTCCTTTAATTTCTAATTATCTTTTATACCATGTTCATAATCAATCTTTGCAATGCATTTTTTATCAAACTACTAAACAACTCACTTGTCTTTTAAAAGTACTGCTTCTTCATAAATTTATTTTGATATTTGAGGTCTTGCACTTGTTCCCTCTATACGGGATCTTGATACTTTGTGATTTTTGTTGATAACTTTTCTCAATTTACTTGGATTTATATGATGAAATTTCAATCTGAGTTGCCTAAAATTTATATCAAATTTGCTACTATAATTCACACTCAGTATTTTAAAATTATCAAAAATTTTCATCATGATAATGTTTTGGAATATTATGACTCTAGGTTATTTAGCTTTTTTAATTCTCAAGGCATTATTATTTCTTAGTATTCTTATCCTTACACTTCTCAACAAAATGGTCTTACTAAGTGTACACACCATTATATTCTTGATTTTATTATAGCATAGCTCATATTCTATTAGAGCATAGCTCATTTTCTCTTCTTGTCCTGGACAATTTTAGGGTGAAGCTGTAATAACCTCAAATACTAATAATAATAATAATAAATGAATAAATAAATGTTTGTTAAAAATAATATACATACATACAGATATATACATATATTCATTGGAATATATTAGTCAGTAACCAGATAAAAAAAAATCTCCTTATCCTTATATATATATATATATGTATATAACCAATTTATTTTATAGATATATGAAGATAATGTTAATATATATGCGTGTGTATATATATATAATAGGATAATTCCTTGAGGAGTAATTCACCGGCTCTTTTTAATCGCCAGAATCACTCCCATCCCCAATAAATACTCACCCTCTTTGCTCGGTGCTCGCTTGAAGAGAAAACAGAGATAGTTAAGCCATACTGCAAATACTAAGCAAGTAAGATCTCTCCTTCCTTACTGAAACTTTTTTCAAATATCCAGAATATTTTTGTTTTTTAGAATATTTTTCAAATATTTAGCATTCTGTAATAATACTAGTGTTGCTTATATGAATAGTGTAATATTATAAACCCAATATCTTAACATTCACTATGTAAAATCGTGAAATGAATGAACATATTATATAGCATGGTTCTTTTAGAAATGAAAATAGAGACTAATTATACTTTTAAAGATGGATTTAATTTAAAAATATTTTGAGACATATTGTCTCTAAAAAAAGCACAGCAAAATCCATCTCAACACCTGTCATTATTCATTCAAAAATTTAATTTTTAAAAAATTAAAATGTTAGAAACAAGTTTAGCGACAAATAAATTTTATTCCTAAACTAGCCATCTCCAAATCCATCTCTAATATTAATTTTATATTTTTTAAATTTAGAGATTGAATTTGAGACATTTTTTTTATGAATTTAAGCAACGGCATGTCCCTCTGTTTTCACTTCTTTAATATTTTTCAACTAGTGTTCAGTCTCTTTGACCACCATGTATCCCATGCTTCCATAAAGATTTTTGTTTAAATTTTTTTGGGTAATAAAGTCACTTTTGAATGGTTTTATTAAAACTCAAACTTAGGATCCCAATTTTTGAAAAAATTAATTTTGGTTTTGAATTTCTCTTGAACGATTAACTGTGGCTAGGCAATCCTTTGAGAATGATTTTATTGATTACCTGTGTTGAATTATTATGAGGATGGATTAGTGAAGGTGACCTTACAATAAAGCTATCATTCTTATAAAAATATAGAGTTAAGGTCCAATTTTATTATTGTACTCTGAAGTGGGCAATTTTCCCCTTGATGTATTTTTTGTGGTCAAAAAATGCCCTATTTTTAGGAGGCCATTAACTTTGCTATTTTTTGCTGACGTAGCATGTGCATGGGGACCATGCACAATGACAGGTAAGACTCTAATTATGTCCTTTGCTGCTAATTTGCTTTTAAACTCTTTTTTAAGAGCATTGGGCACCATAATATCTTTTTTCAGAAGCGCTTGGCACCTTAAAATCATATTAAAATAAAATTTAATAAATATTGCCAAAATATTAAGTATTTTCATATTTAATAATTTAAATATTATTATTCATAAATATCCATTCAAAATTTATATATCAAAATTAATAACAACTCAAACTAGCATTTTATAAATTTATAAATAATTTTTTATTTTTTATAAATCAATCTTTAATCTTCTATCCGAGATAGTGCCCAAATGGTCCCGCCTTTTGTACATGTCAAAATTTAGTTATATTTTTAATATTGGTTAAGTTTGTTACATTTTTAGGTCATTTTCTATAATTTTTTTTGGTCAGCTAATAATCTTTCTTCAAAATATTACACTATCCAAATTTAATAATCTTTATACATTAAAGTGTTAGGAGTAAAGTAAAAAATATAATAAATCAGGACCAACAAATGTCAACAAAAATATTTATTTGAAAGATATCACCTATTCTATTAATGTGCTACAGAAAAAAGTTACTTAACAAGAGAAAAATGAAGAGAAGAGAAGAAAAAATCCCTTTGTTAATTTAGAGGTTCATTTCCTTCATTTTTAATACAAAATTACAAGACATCAAAAATATTAAAATGTTAAATTAGGTGGTGTAATATTTTAAATAATAATATTTAAATTATTTAATATTAAAATACTTTAAATATTAATAATATTTATTAAATTTTATTTTAACAATACTTCAGGGTGTCTAACACTCTTAAAAAAAGATTTTAGAATATTTAGCGTTCCTAGAAAAATAATTCATGAGCAAATTAGCACCAAAGAACATAATCAAAGTTGTACATGTTATCATGCATAGGCCCCACGTACATGTTATGTCAATAAAAAATAAAAAAATTAATGGTTCACTAACAGAAGGGCAACTTTGGACCTTGAAAAAAAATATTTTAGGGAAAAGTTGCCCTACTTAAGAATATAAAGTCCTAGCACTCCTGACAAATAAATACAGGGGCAAAATTGAGCTTTAATCCAAATATATAATATTGTTTTATCATTTATCCTAATTACCAATGTACTCCACAACAAGTGAGAGATATATTTACACAAATATCTAAATTAATAAATACAATAGGTAAAATAAAAAAAAAACTTTTTTTTTACACATATTAGGGTGTTTATATTTTAAATCAAGATTAATTGAAGGAAAATGCTTATATTATGGGCAGGAGAAAATATTTTATATTTAAAAGTAGATTAATAGTGTAATATGCCTGTTATATTCGGGGAAAAATAAAGAGAAAATGAAATATAAATTTTTTATAGAACCATAACTAAATATTTTCCCTAGCTCTTGCAACACAAGAGAGAAATAATAACACAATAAAAAAGGAATAAAAAACAGAGGAACATGTGTGGAGACTAAAGTTACATGAAAAAGAAATTCGTGGACTGAATGTGTTAGAAATTTACAATGAATTTAAGAGCCGTAGACGTAACCGGTGGTTGTTAAATGAAAAAACACCGCTAAATAATTATGTATTTTTATTATATTTTTTGGCATGACTTTCTTACATTTTATATTGGTATTAATATTAAAATTTTGTATTGATACATTGATGCACTGAGTGAACCCTTAAGCAAGTTATGAGTGAAAAAGTCTAACGGCTAAGGGTGAGTGCTAACTTCACGAAATAAAACATACCCAGTCAAAGCACACAAGATTTGGGTTAATTCCACTGCAGTATAATTCTTGTCCTGACATATTATCATATTATGTCTGAATGAAAACGATACGAAAATGCAACCTGATGAAATTATACACTTTGATTTAAAAACGTAATAAATATTATTAAAATATTGGAATTAAACATATAATAGATAGATATAGATATTATACATAAAAAAAA